ATTGGTAAACTTGTTTCACATTAAACTAGGGACAGAGCTCTTAGTAGAGAGCTACCTAAAGATTCCATCATAAGAATCCCAATCAAAAGGAGGTGCAAATGAAGGGTCATTTCACATTGTTTGGGGAAGATTCATTCATTCTTAAATCACTCCAAGAATTTGAAAATTATCCTCACCTCAAAGAATGTGAAAAGTATCTTAAATCACTAGGAGAGTGATGGAGAGCCAATTAGCAGTTACTTTCCCCTGTTCTCAACAAAAAAAAATCCTCACTCCATTGATTAATTCCAATTTCTTAAAAAAGAAAGAAAAAACCCAAACCCATACCCATCAAGAAGATTATGAGTAATGGCCAGGCCATATGTGATGGAGTAGAACTGCTCCATAGGGCTTTCTTGCCTGTGACCTCTCTGGAAGCAGATTGTCCAAACTTTTCTCTGTAGCATCTTTGGGTAGTTTTCAACTACCAACTTTTAGGTTAATAGTAATCCTCCAAATGAAATTAGACAAACTGTACCTGAGGGTAAGTAAAAGGTCATTGTTAAAAAATAATTAAGTGTTGTCGAGTTGGTTCCAACTCTTAGTGACTCTGGTTTTCTGAGGAGCAGCTGGTAGTTTTGAACTGCCGACACTGTGGTCAGCAGTCCAGTGCTTAAACTACATTGCCATACCATAGAAATCTTTAATAAACAAAACTATCAAAATGTAAAGCTATTTTTCTCAACATTTTCTCCATCTATTTCTATACATTTCTGAAGGTGGTATTTCCATCTCTCTGAGGAATTCTGTGCTATTTCATTTAGAGCACACCAAAATGGCGGTTTTTTTATCCTGTTGTTCTTAAGTGCCATCAAGTTGGTTCCAACTCAGTCACCTTATATAGGATTTCCAGTGAGTCAGTGGATTTGAACCACTGATATTTCTGTTACTAGTCCAGTGCTTATACCACATTGCCACATCTGTAGGGAGTCCAATATGTCTTAATGGCAAAGATACGAGCTATAAAGTGGATGGGGTAAGGTTTCCCAGTGAAATTCTGAGAGGAGGATAGCCCTTAATACCCTCGAAGAATGAGTAGGTGCGTTGTCATGATGGAATTAAATTTTGGTGCAATTTTCCTGGCATTTTTCTCACCAATGCAGTTTTCAACTTTCTTAAAATTTCTAATTAATAAGCCCCTGTGATTGTCCTACATCCTTTAAGAAAATTTCTCAAGATTACCCCATTGGAATTCAAAAAAGAAAACCAAAGAGTTGCCATAACATTATGTACTGAACCCTTTGACTTGAATTTAAGTGGCTTGGTGAGCAGATCCATTTAGTAGCCACTGATTTAATTAAACCTTTAAAAAAACACAACACTCCCTAAGGAGAGTAAGGATTCCTGGTGTAGTGCTGTAGGATCAGCACTGGACTATGATGCACAAAGTTGACAGTTCAAACCCACCAGCTGTTCTTTGAAAAACTGGTATAGGATTGCTATGAGTCAGAACTGACTCAGTGGTGTGTAGCAAAAGCAAGGTGAGTTAAGGCAAGCGTGTTACTGAGAGACTTTGTCTGCAGGCATCCACTGATCAGAAAGAGATGTTTACACTCGTTTTGTTTGGATTAACCTGTTTATGGATGAACTGCATCCCTAGTAACAATGCTTTTTGACTTACCCTCCTACACCCATTTAAATCACAGTTCCTTCTCAGTTATGTGCAAGTTCTTGCCCTAGTTTGTATCCTCAGGATACCTTAATCAAATTGTCCTAATGAGCAGCAAATGAAGATTTGGGGAAGGGTAAGGGCTCTGTCTACTCTCAGGAGGGAAGAGAATCAATATCTCAGCCCACTTCTAAAACACTAGTGGCACATGCCTGAACAGCAATTTGGTTTTTAACTTATATTTTATCAAACACTAAAACATTTGTATAAGTTTCTCAGAAGACATTATAAGCATTTTAACAATGTAATGTATATATATAGCTTGCATGATTACTATAATATCTCTGACCTGAAATCATTCAGATTGCTGTTATGTTATTTAAGAACTGTGAAGGGCTTGGCACCAAAACTATCTCTTTTGGAACTTCTCACAGGGAAATGTTCTAAAGCAGAGCAATCAAACACTGTTCTTTGAAGGTTCTTTTATCTTATTATTCATTTCTCATTCATGCAGTATGTGCTGGATTAATATTTGTAGGCTAAGCCATGTTAGTATTACAGCTTGAATGAGCCTTGTCAGTGGCTAGGGGAAAGTGCAGGAAGACATAAGACCGTGGTAACCTGGTTCATATCATGTCACTTCCCTGTTAATAACATTCCTTGGTTGTCCACAATGTTTAGAATAAAACCCTTTATCTCACCCTGGTTTCCAGAATTGTATGTTGTAAATGGCTTATCTAACTTCATTCAATCCTTACTTATGGAGGTAAGTGTTTATTGAGTTCCTGTTGTTGAGTTCAACTCATAGCAATCCTGTATAGGGTTTCTGAGCAACAGCTGGTGGATTTGAATTGCCAAATTTGTGGTTAGCAGTCTAGTGCTACATAGTCCAAATATTTGGCAGTTCAAGCTCACCAGTTGCTTGAACTATACAGGGTCATTATGGGTTGGAACCAACTTCATGCCACTTAACAACAACAGACAAATGTATATATATTAAAAATTATATGGCAGTTCAAGCTCACCAGTTGCTTGAACTATACAGGGTCATTATGGGTTGGAACCAACTTCATGCCACTTACCAACAACAGACAAATGTATATATATATTAAAAATTAAATATATGTTGATGTTAGGTGCCGGTAAGTTGGTTCTGACTCATAGTACCCCCACATATGGTTTCCGAAGAGTGGCTGGTGTGTTTTAACCACCAACCTTGTGGTTCAAACTGATCTTGAGGTCCAGTGCTTTATCCTACAGCACCACACTACAACGCCTTTATATAGATATCTATAACACACACACCACTAGGAGGCCTGGTGTAATGCTGCAGGTTAATAGGTTGGATTTCAAGGTTGGCTTGAACCATAAGGTTGACAGTTTCAAGATCACCTGCTGCTCCTTGGAATCCCTATAACGGGTCACTATGGGTTGGAACTGACTCGACAGTCCTTACAAGAACAAACATACACAAAATTAAAGTTCTTGTTCTTATAGTATTTATAAGACATTGAAACCAAAAGATTAACTATAAAGTAATTATTTATAGTAATTAGTATGTTTGAGATGATAAGCTATGGAAAAATGAGAATGTAGGAAAGTCAAAGGGAATTAAGACTGCCAATAGGAATGGTGGGTGAAGATTACAGCAGAGATTAGCAATTTTTTTTCTGTGAGGAGCCATATAGTAAATATTTTAGGCTTTGTAGGACATGTAATCCCTGTTGCCACCACTCAACTCAGCTGTTGTAGCACAAAAGCCCCCCTAAACCACGTATAGATTCCTGCTGTGACACTGTAGGCTCAGCATGGGACTGTGAACTATGGATGGTATGGATATGCTCCAATAAAACTTTATTTGGAAAACAAGAAGAGGGCCAGATTTGCTTTACAGGCTGTAATTTGCAGATTCTGGATTACAGTATTAAATAGTCATAGGAAAAGTTTAAGCAAAGGACTGAAGGATGTTTTTATGTCACTAAATCCTTTTACACATGTTCCTCTCCCCTTGTCTTGTTTATGACCATTAATCAATACCAAGTTTACTCTTGTCACTGGGTCTTTACAGTAGCTAGTTCCTAAATTTTAGTTACCTAAAATTGTTGTCGTCATTATTAAGTGCCATTGAGTCAGTACTGACTCAGCAATTTTATGCACTACAGATTGAAGCGTTGCCTGGTCTTGGTGCCAACCTCACAATTGTTCTGCTTGAGCTCACTGCTGCTGTTGCTGTGCCAATCCATCGAGTTGGGGTCTTCCTCTTTTTCACTGACCCTCCACTTTACCAAGTATGATGTCCTTCTCCAGGGACTGGTCCATACTTGTAATAGGTTTGAAGTAGGAGAGTAGAAGGCTAGCCATCCTGACTTTTAAGGAGAATTCTGCCTGTGCTTCTTCTAACACAGATCTGTTTGTTCTTCTGGCACTCCGTAGTATTTTATTCTTCTTCTCCAACACCATGACTCAAATGCATCAATTCTTCTACAGACTTCCTTATTCATTGTCCAACCTGAAACTCTACCCAGATTACATATTTTTCTCTAATAGCTCACTATGAAATGTCAGCATTATCAAATGTCATCATTTCAGAATGACCTTACTTGATAAACATATCCAAAGTAGCACTATGAACCCTACTTGCTCTACTCCATGCTCCTCTATAGTTTTGGTCATAATTTTTAGCACCATGTGAAAATATTTTATTTGTATGTGTTTATGACAAGCTTTGTTTCTATTTCTCCTTCTGAGTATGTTGAATGCTCTAGTGATAATTTTATTAACATCATTTTGAGGATCAAGGAACTGAGACATAGGGCATTTATAAATGGCAAAGCCAGCTCTTAATAGAGATTATTAAGGTTTCAGCAAAAATGGACATGTCTGGTAACTGTTTTCTCCACTATGTTATTAGAATGAGCTACTCTCTTTTTTGTTTTCCTTTTTCTTTCCAAAACATGGTGCCACTGGATAAACATTCATTGAAGTTCATTTAGTTGTGCAATTGTTAACTGGATCACAGGGTACATGAAAACAATTTGTAGCGTGAGCATTGTATTATCTTCCTAACATTTCCACATTCTCTGGTCATTTGTTTGCATTATTCCAGTCACTTGTTTTAGTACTCTCTGAGTTGTAAATATTCCTCAAAAGCCACTCCATGTCATTGTGACTGATTGTCAGAGTGGATACCAGCGTGGTGAGAACTCAGGACAAGATTCCTTTTCTGTCAGTGATTTCAGTTGTCAAGCTCTAATACAGTAACATACACATAGATGCAGATGGATATTAAAACTTTTGTTTTTGTCAAATCAAGGGCACTCAGCAGTGAATAAATCTAGAACAGGCAGCATTCCAGTCTCTTGAACACTTTATTTGTTATAAATACAACTCAATACCACAAGATGGCACCTTCTTACTTTCAACACCTATGATTACAAACAATTACCTTCATAAAATGGTCTCTGCTTTTTAATGTGTTGTTTTAGATAATAATTGAAACCTTATAAAAGCAAGACTTTCTACAAACAGGACCAGTGTTTGATGTATATTAAATGAGGTCAGATAATTAAATTCAAGAAAAGAATTTATAAATATTCAGATAAGAAAATTGAAATTACAAAAGCAGAGTTTGCCATCATTAAAATGAAGTACAACTGTGTGTGGCTAATGCTATATCTACAAGGCTAAGTTTTTGTTAAAATACAATTTTAGTACTCAAATCATCTCCCTCATCCGCCAATGTAGCCACCTATTTCAGTTGTACACCCCTAGCATTCAACACACATTTCATTCAGTAGCCACCTGGCTTCCATCTATCCAGCAGTTATGCACAATCTACTCTTTTTAATAGACACACCCCACCCATGAAATGCCATCCACCCCTAGCTACAAAACAAAATACAATATTTAAAGGTAAAAACTCAGAGAATTTCTGAAATGGTAACCCATTCTCTCTGTGTTCATGAAAATAGGCAATCCAATTTGAAAGTTTTTGAACCAATGTAAACTCTAGAAAACTCAGTGTTGACGTATGGAAAGAATAAAGATGTGCACTAATATAGTGCGTAAGGATGTAGTGTCAGACTCATCATTTACAGTAAATGCCTTGATTAGACTTTCCTCCGGATTGTCATCATGCTGCTGAAGATACAGATTACTCAAGTCTGTGGGAATTCCACCATGGTTTCCTCCTCCCATTTCCAAGCAGGAAAAGAAGGGCTTTCAGGTCCCTTGGGAGAAACAAAAAATAAAGCACTCATACCCACAAACAACTCGAAAACAAAATGGCAGACCTAATGATTGTTGACTTCAGTCCATGAAGTTGAGGCAAAATTAAGTTTTCAATATTTGCATTCTGCCCAATATATTACATCATGAGATTCCTCAAAAAACTGAGAAGTCTGAGAGCTACAAAAGAGAAAGCGGTTAAGGCAGTTGATGTCTACATTTGGATTTCTTTTTCAGGTTACATGTCTAAATCTCCATCGTAGGCTAAGGTCAGAGGCTTCTGTTGGGGAGGTGTGCTTTGATGTGGTTTTGGCTTCTTGCTGCAAAGAGAAAAGAATTCCACATATAAAGAAAGTTCATTGAGCTCTGTGTCATGTGACAATGACAAAGTTATGGTATAGAAATTCACATGGGTGAATGAAGAGTCGTAGAGTTTGAAGCTTTCTCTTTTGAATATTTTAATACTTTAACCATCTTTTAAGAAGAGAAATAATTTTTTCAAAATTGTTAAAAAAGATTTATTGAAAACAATGAACTTGGTGACAGGGCTATTTTCCAGTCTTCTTTTTGGCTGTAGACTGTAGCGTGTGCTAATCACTAATTCTAAGCTACTGCAACCTCCATATCACTGATGACTGACATCATTAACAGCTACAGTAGACAGGCTGCCTTGTTTAACACCTTCTTGTTTTTAAATAAACACAATTCAGCCCTGGCCTGCAAGCTGACATTTAGCTGCAAAGTCACTGGAATCTATATCAGAACAAATTTCCAATTCTGCTGTAAGCAAAGTCAACTCTCAACTCTAGCTAGAATGCTACTTCCGCAGGCTAAGGGAGGCTACTATTTCCTCTTGCAGAAAGCGAGAGAGAAACAGCACAAGAGAGACTGCAGTTGAGTGACATTCCTACCTCACACAGCCCAGGTTGTTGTTGTTAAGTGCCATCGAGTCGGTTCTGACTGTGTATAGGGTTTCTGAGTGGCTGGTGAGCTTGAACCACCAATCTTGTGGCTCAAACTGACTTTGCAGTCCAGTTCATTAACCCACAGCATCATAACAGGACTCCCACACAGCCTAGATCAGGAGCAAAATACTCTGCCTTTCATGCCTTGTTTCCTATGAATCTCAGTTTATATGTATTATTAGTTATAGTTTGACACTTCCGTTTGTAGTGCCATGTTTGGCTATTCTTTTTAAGCCTAAAGTCTAGCTTTCTTTAGGTTGAACTCACCAGTAAGAAGTGATCTCTTTCCTAAATAATAAATTTCTCTAATATTTATTTTATTGGAGCATCTGTGTTTTATTGGATACATGCTATGTGCCAAGCCTTTTGCAAAGTATTTTAAATAAACTATCTCAGTAAATCCTCAGAACAACTTTGAGAGGTAGGCATTAGCATTTTTGCTGTCGTGTGATTCCAACTCATGTTGGAATACTACATGTAAATCAGAATTGTTAAGTGTCATTGAGTTATTTCCAACTCATAGCAACTCTGTATAGGGTTTACCAGGAGTGGCTGGTTGGTCCGAACTGCCGACTTTTTAGTTAGTGCTTATGCTATAGTGCCACATCAGAAGAGTAGAACTTTGCTACTTACATAGGGCATCTAGTAGCTGATATTTCAAAGCTAGATCACCAGACCTTTCTTCTGGGTGAACTCTAACCTCCAACTTTTTGCAGCCTTGCACATTAAGTATTTGAACATCCTTTGCCTCTGAGTAAGGACTGCAGGTGGTGGTGGTTTGCTGTGGAGTTGTTTCTGACTCATAGTGACCCTGCATAGGATCCCAAGGCTGTAAATCTTTACAGGAGCAGAATGCCTCATCTTTCTCCAGTGGAATGGCTAGTAGTTTCGAACTGCTGACCTTGACGTTAGGAGCCCGACTATGCTAACCACAGAGCAACTAGAGAGAGGTTGATTACCTTATCTCACCTCTCTGAGTGGCACAACCTGAATTCTAAGCAAGTCTAACACACAGACCTATGTTTTTACCCTCTTTCATGTACCCTCCCTTTGTCAATGTCATCCATTTGGCTCTGGTTGTTAAGTGCCGTCAAGTCGATTCTGACCCACAACATACCCTGTATAGGGTTTTCAAGAAGCAGCTGGTGAGCTTGAAATACCAACCTTGCCGTTCAAATGATGTCTCAGTCTGACACATTAGCCCACTGCGCCACACCAGGAGGCTCTAATTATTTTTGCCTTGTACATATGAACTAAGTTTTACACTCTAAGTAAATTTAAATAAATAAATAAAAAACATTTCTATTGCATTCTGGAATATCCACAATGTTGTACAGCCATCATATCTGATTACTTCCAGATAATTTTTGTTATTCCTAAAGGAAACTCCATACACATTAAGCAGTTCCTCCTTATCTTTCCCTTTCCCCATTCTCTGGCAAGAACTATTTCTGTCTCTATGGATTTTCCTATTCTAGATATTTCATATATATAGAACATACAATATGTGGTCTTTTGTGCATGCCTTTTTTTCACTTAGCATTGTTTAAAAGTTAATTTGTTATGTGAATGCTACCACAAAGCAAAAAAAAAACAAAAAAAAAAACAACCCAACATTTTATATATATATATATATATATACACACACGGTTTCCGAGGCTGTAAATCTTTACGGGAGCAGAAAGCCTCATCTTTCTCCCGCGGAACAGCTGGTAGTTTCGAACTGCTGACCTTGCGGTTTGCAGCCCGATTCGTAACCACTACACTACCAGAGCTCCATATATATATATTAGTTGTTAAGTGCTGTCGAGTCCGATTCTGACCCATACTGATCCTGTATAGGGTTTCCAAGGAGCAACTGGTGAGCTTGAACCACTGACTTTGCAGCTCAAATGAATTTGCAGTCTGATGCATTAGCCCACAGCGCCGCACTAAGACTCTCTCTCTGTCTCTCTCTCTCTCTCTCTATATATATATATTTTTTTTTTTTTTGATGAAATTAAAAATTAAATGTATGTATGTATATATATATATAATGAAATTAAAATGTCCAAGTTTTAATTCAAGGAGTAACCTAGTAATGATTTGATGTTTGTAGTAAATTATTAAAGCTAAAGAGATAAATTAAATGTGATAAAACAAAAGGAAATAAAGCAAGCACTGAAAGGAGCCAGAGATCCAGTCTAGGACCCTCATCCCAGGACTTGCTGACTGTAGTGCATGGGTAGTGGTTGTGCAGTCAGGGACCTTGCCTTCCAGGTGGGATACCTGGGTTTGATTCCTGACCGATGTACCTGATGGTCAGTCACTACCCTGCTGTCAGTGGGGACTTAACATGTTGTTATGATGCGGCATAGGTTTCAGATTAGAAAGATAGGTCTGGTGACCTATCTTTCTACTTCAAAAATCATCCATTGAAAACCATCAGGATAAGAACTCATCAATGGGATGGAGCAGGACCAGTAGCCAGTCAGGACATGGACAGCACCTAACAACAAAAAGACCAGCGCTTCAGGCAAACACAGTCCAGCCAGAGAAATCCTTAACTTTCTCATTCCAAGTTCTTCTCAGAATTCCTCCTTCTCCTTTCAAGTTCACAGAAAAGTTCATGCGTGATTATCTAAACAATATGTAACTTTTTTTTTTTAGTTTTTATTGTGAATTGAGTGATAGTTTACATGGGAGTACATAAGCTTTACATTCATCCTATCATATTTTGTTTCATTGCAATGATTATAATACCCTCCATGCATCATCAAACAACCAAAGGGTACACCCTGCCAAGTCTGCCCCCACCCTGGCCATCAGCACACAGACCCTCTCACTCCATGAGTACAGAGTTCCCAGCCTCTCCATCTCTCCATGTCATCATCTCTGCCTCCATCTCTGGCATCACTGCTTCTCTGGATAGGGTCCCACACTCTGCTCTTCTCCCTTGATGGTGCCAGGGTCCTCCGCTCTTGGACAGCAAAATCAACCACTGCCCTCCTTTTGTTACATATACCTTTACATTTGCAACACTCACAGTCAGTCCTGGTAGCAATTATTCACTATTGAACCACAAGAGTCGTATCCTTATCCCCATCTCCTTTCATCAGCCCCTTCCAGACAGGTTGGAGATTCTATCTTCCCTGCACCCTCTGGAACTAGGAACCCTCTTGAAAGCTTGTAAGCCAGTCACTTCTTGCCTTTGAAGTTCCCACCCCATCCCATTTTGGGTAGCCAATGTCTAAGTTGCCCATCTTCGTCAACCTTGTGTACTGAGGGGGTGGGAATGATCCTTGCTGTAAAGATTTGTTCCCTTCTTTTGAGCTACTGTATCCATAAATATAGGTCAGGTTCATCAAATTCTAGTGAAATACTCTTTCTTTCCTCTTCTTTCTTCCTCTAGTCGAGTTTTGATCATCCAGCCATTGAAGCCAAGTCAAGTGGGTACTATCGGCAAGTATGGGTGTTCTTGTGCATCTCCCCTCACTTCATATCAACTGGACACTTCACTCTCCACTCTAGGCTCTGTCTCTGGGCCCAGGAGTCCCCAGGTCTTGCCATACTGCTGTCAAACCAGGTCTCAACCCAGGTTGTCAGGAGTCTATCGTACATGGTTGGACTTAGATCACAATTTCATTGCTGTTTTTCCCCTACTTCCCCTTATTGGTTGAGCAACGTGGACACCAGCAAGACCATATGCCTGTTCATGTATTCCCCTTGAGTCTCAGTCTTAGAAGGGGTTTGCCCAAAGGGGACCCGATCACTTGCATTGATGGCTCCTGGTTAAACAACTTGTTTGTTCTTGTAGTAATCAATTAGACTACCATTATTGCTTTTGATTTTTCCTGCTGGTCTTTCTTTCAAGAAGTATCTTCTGTTCTAGCTGCTCCAGACTGATCTGCTTGTTCTTTCAAGTAGAAATTTCCCACCTCAAACGATTCTGGATAGGTTTCAGGATTCCACTTAATGTTCTTATGCAATGCAAAGACTCCACAGGAAGCCTCTTTCACTGGGAAACTTATAGCGCCCTTTAAGGACTTACAAGCTTTCTATGGTGATGTTTCTGGCTATTCCTTTCTCTCCGACTCAAGTGTTTGTTTTACAATAGTAGGCAAGGAAAACCAAGATTCAAAAGACAGCCAAACATCTTAACATTATTTCCCCCTTTTACCCATTCAAACCATGCCTCAATCCCTGTACCCCAGACCCTGTTTTTCTGAGGTTAAGCATATATTATTATTTATCTCTGTCACACTTAGTCCAAGCAAACCTGCCTAACTGTTCTCTCGTCCACCTTGTTCTTCCATTCCCCTCTCCCTTTTGTGTATTCCCCCCACTCAGGCACTCAAACTATCCTGTTTCTATTC